ACTCACAGCTTCTCAAAAATGCAATCCTGTATTTACATAAGGTCTTAAAACAAAGTGCTACCACATTATATCTCATTCTTTGTATAAGTTATAATTTTAGACCCTAAATCTAATCCTGATTTTACCTTTTAATTCCATCCCTCAGTTCTCAACAGCAGCGGGAAAACTGAAAGGTTGTATTAGACGCTTCCTTCTTCCTCCACCCTGAACTTCCTTATGTTACACGAGTCACATTCCCTGTTATATACTACCCTCTAGTGTCATCACTAAACACTGCCTCCACGTTTAACTGCAGACTGACGGAGAAGCACTAAGAAGAGCAAGGCAGCTGCCATTAATGTCATGTTGACTGAGTGAATGGGTGTCTGAGACACGGAGCCCTGTGTCGCCTGCCCTATCTCCACTGCACAGCTAATTAACAGCTCTGGCATGTTCTCTCTCGCTTTCTTTTCTTTCTGCCTCGCTCCATTTCTCTCGGCAAGAGCTGGCAGGAGATGAAAATTCCCTGTATTAATTAATCTGTTACATACAGGAATTGGGATGAAACCGTGATACGGGTGCGTGTATGTGTGCGCGGACAGGGCAGAGAGGAGTCCAGAGAGCTGTGGATAGCTGACAGAATAACACGCTGTGCTGGAAAAATTAATAAGCCTTAATAAGGAGCCTCTGTTTGAAATTGGATTTACAGGCGATGCCAACTTTACTCAGGCACATCAAAGAAAGTACACCAGATCCCTTCAGAGCACCTGACCTTGGGATTCAGCGGGGTCCATAAAGCATAGCAGGGCGTGTTAACACCAAACAAGATATATTCACCTTGGGCTTCATATTGATTACGACTGAGATGAGGTTATTTGCTATGGATGTTATAGCTATCCACAGAGTCTAAATGGCTGTTTTATGCTTCATGTTTAATCTATGGCTGAGCCTTGACTCGATTATAAATCCGAGCAGGCGCATGATTCAACTTTAATCCAATATTTAAAAATTAACGCCGCTGATGTGATGAACTGAAATGACCTGCTGTATGCTGTTCCACAGAATGGCACAAAGGTCTGGATTTATTATGTCTTCACATTTATTCAGTGCTAATTGATGGATCGTTAAAACAGGTACTTACACTCCACATGAAAAATGAGATGAATGAGCCCTAGCATCAAACTCTCCCTCTTAGTCAGCAATCCTGACAAAATGTTGAGTTTCTCACCTGAAAAGCCGATGAAGCGTGGTAACGTTTCTCTTCTATCAACTGAAATGTGTTTGTAGGGCTGAAAAAGCACTCGAATGTGGCACCGGAAAGTTTCAGTTAAACAGGATTTAGATTTCTCGGGGCGAGGTATCAATCACGCGTGCTGTGTTGACTCTAGAATTAATACAGACTCTCAGTTTCATCTGCGTGGCTTCTGTTATTTAACAGCCAACAACATTTGATTAGAATTTCTATTTGCAAGATATATAGTCCCTGGACTCATATGCATATACACGGACAAGCCAAAACATTACGACTGCTCACAGATGTAGTGAATAACATTGATTATACAATGATGCATTTCAAGGTCTGGGATTAATTAGACTATAACTGAACATTTGGCTGTTAAAGCTGCGCAAATGGGCAGCAGTAAAGAACTAAGTGACTGGCAAGGGTGAAGTTGCAGCCAGATGACTGGACGGGAACATATCTGAAAGAGCAACACTTATCAAGTGGCCCAGTTTGGCACTGTTGAGTACAAACCCGCAGTGGTCTGAGGAGAGACAAGGCATGAACTGATGGCAAAATGTTTTAACTGTTCCCAGTTAAACTTGAGAGGCTTGATGCACCCCGGGCAGCAACATTTGATGGTGCAACACTCCACACGGCACCTTCAATGGTCTTGCCTTGATGGGTCCATTGACTTGGCACCACACAAAGACCAACAAGCAAATGAGTTGAGACATTGTAACGAAGGGACATGACAATCAGGGAGTGCTGAAGAGAAATCTAAGGGGAAAAGCACAAAAACAGAGGAGGCAAGGAGCCAAACAACAGTGTAACCTGGGAACATATGAGCCACTGACGCCTGCTCGCAGCACAAATGTTGTTGTTAAGATTGTTGTAAAGATGTAGGAAAGTGTACTTTTCTTGGCTTTTCACCCATAATATTATTAATTATAGCATTAGTAAAACACTCTGGCAGGATCAGGTAAAGACATTGATGCTAAGGTGCTCAAACCTTATTTTGCAGCAAATAAACATCAAATTTTTTAAGTATCACAGTACAGGATTTGGTTGCAGTTTCTATGCTCTGTGCTTTTAAGATGATCACCTACTGCACATATAACTGCCAGGAGGCATTCCCTAGATGACAGCCGAGTGGTGAGAGTTTCACTTATGAGGACTTTGATATGAGGGAACGGGAGGTTTTGAAGCATCACCGTGATTTAGACTTGGTAGTGCATGCATATTTATGAAATCAAAAATAATATGCCGAGCCATACAGAATGTGAAAGAATGTGGTCATATAATAGCACACATATGTAATACTAATTGAAGTTGAACACCATTTAATTAACCTCAAATCCTGTAAGTACTAATAAATACTATCTGTCCTGTGTCTCCAAAGCTTGATAGTACAGATTACTATGAGACATAATTAAACTCTTTCTAGACTAGTCTACTTAGATTTTTCCAAAGATAGGAGATATTAAATCTAGCGCACAGGGACATGTGACATTGAGGCTGAAAGTTGTCAAATAATTTCTGCAACTTTCTGTTTGCACTAATTCAACCAGGCCAGGCTGCAGGTCTGGTATTTCAAAGAGGTTTACACAGAAGCTGGTGTCTGACTCAAAGTACTTTAATCTTCTTTCATTGTCGTAACTGTTGATCAGGAAAGAAAAAGAGCATATGGCAGTTTGCATACGTTGGAAGTAAACACTACTCTCCCAATCCGTCTATTTCTGGAGAGGAAACAACTTATGAGTCTTCACTGCTGTTGATGGGTCCTTTCATCTATTATCAGGGACACCAAGGAAAACAACAGCTTGTCTGTCACTGCTTATTCCACATTAAAGTTATTGTTGGTGCTTACAAGGTGGACAAAAACATAAGGGGTTACTTTATCTACATGACTGGCATACTATTTTGTGCGTGGAAAGCAAAAGGATGTGTGCCGTCCACATAATGTGACAACAAATACCATCAATGTATCATCAAATAAGAGTAATAAGTGCAGTTATATCGCCACAGTGCAGTTAAGCATGCTATGTGAATTCCTTGTGAGATCTGAGAACTTGTGCTACAGTGTTTCAAGTGCTATACTTTTGTTTAGATACAGTGGAGCATTTCATTAACTTGGTTTAGCCTGTTAGCATTCCAGCATTTGCTAATTAGCACTTAAGAAAACACAGTAATTACACTTTTATCCAAAACAAAGCAGCTAATTTGAGGGGTCACAAGTGTAAATCTAATACTAAGACTTTCATCATTTCAGTTTTTAGTGCGCTCGAGGTGGCCTATATTTATTTTGGGAATTTGGACACAAAAAATTGGACAACCTGAAGCTTGCTGTCAAGCCAGAATGTAGAGCAAACACGTTTGCAGCTAATCAGCCATAAAGCAATAAAAACTGAAATAACAGTCACCCCCAAAGCAGGTTTTATTTCCAGGTTTATTGTTTATTTTACTCTAGATTTGATTGATTTACAACATTATGCTGAAAGGAAAAAAGATCAGAAAATAGCAGCTAAGACCATAACTGGGCAAAATGTTTTAGTCAAATGAGGATTAAGGTCCTTTTTCTCATAGACTTCTATACAGCCACACTTTCATTCTGCCCATTCTGGCTTTTAAAATAAATATATATTTATGACACACTGAGAGCTTATATCCAACTTTTACGCACAGTCTGTGGACTTGATGGATTTTTCAAAGGCATTAAAAACCTTTTGAAAATTTCACAGTTAAAGATCAAACTACAACTCCCTCGACAAATGCAAAGAGACATTCTTTTTTAAAATGTACCTAGCAGCCCTGAATTTTTCAAAACACTACGCATCAAAAGACATTAAACAGTCTGTACCCCCCAAATAATATAAAAGATAATACATGTAACAGTTCAGTGTATTTAGCATTTGCTAGCAACTGGTCATTCAGCATGCTGCCACCTGCAATACTCACACAGCACCGTCACCCAAATCGTCCCAGTAGTGAGAACACACTCCCCCTGACTATTTCAATTCTAAACTCACGTGTCTAACTCACAGACTTAATGGACAAACATGTAATATAAATATTAGCCATCAGTCACCTGTTTTCTTTTATTAATCCAAGCTTCTCTTACAGTTACCATGAGTCTGAAAACTGCTGACTCTGGCGCCCCTTAGCTGCAGTATGATAGAAAACACTATGAAGACACTATGGCAGCGGTCCCCAACCCCCGGGACACGGACTGGTACCAGTGAGTCGTTTGGTTCCGGGCTGCGACAGTTGAGGCTCGGGTGTGAAATTTATGGTTTTCAGGGTTTTTTTATCGTTAACTCGGTTGCCCTGGGTCTTTTCCCGTGTTGTAGTTGTGTGTTTTCAAAGAAATATTTACACGTTACCATAGTGACCAGAGAGTATTAAGGGACAGAGAGAAGGATGTTACACTCAATTTGTTGGTCATTGTAGGAGGATGCTGCCAATAAAGTTAGGCAATTACACAGTGAATTCGCATTTATTAGTATATTTGGAAAATACCCCAGTTTGTGTCTTGCTCGTATCATTTTATTTTGTTGTATTTATCTGCGCCACCCTAAAGGCAGGTCTGTGAAAATATTGTCTGACATTAAACCGGTCGGTGGCACAAAAAAGGTTGGGGACCGCTGCCATATGGCACTATGGAGACACAGAGTACAGATTTGCAAAGAAAAAGAGGAGTTGGAGTTGTTATATGCTTGAAATAACAGGAGATTAAATAATTAATAATTGAAAAATTAAAAAACAAAAACAATATATGTTATGCTATGATAGATAGTCTTACCCGGGTCAGCTCAGACTCTGAGACAGATCGGTGTGGCGGGGAGCGCCGCTGGTACCTAGGAGGGCTGACATCCTGATAGCTTGGGCTGTCGTCATCCAGCAGGACAGACCCCACGTCCACAGACTCTTCTTCCTCCTCCAGCTGTGACGTCATATTCTCCTGGCACATCTGGTGGTCGATGCCATTCTGGCTCAGGTTGCAGTGAACAGCTGAGTGTGTCAGAGGCAAACATTTCCAAGTGATTAGCAAAGGGTAACAGCAGACATTTGCCATAAATAGGACGAAAGTGTAGTATTGCAATTTTAACTGGAGGTGCTTTGCATTACGTTTGAATCACTTAGGTTCAGGTATGTACTCTAGCTAATAAATTAAGATTGCAGTTTTCTATAAATGGGCCTTTCAATGCTTGTGTAGTACACAAGAGTACTACATCGTTTATGTAATAGTATAACATCTTTTTTTAATGGTCTCTTTTTACAGTTCTCTTAAATGTTAGATTATTAGATTTCCTGGTGAAATTCCAAACTGTGAGCAGCACATGTTGAATAACCCAGTCCTCACACACTGAACGCTACACTTCAGAAATTCCACAAGATGGCAGCAGAGAGTGACTTATGGTGAGTAAGCCAGTGAAAGTCTCAGTAGTTCATTGTAATGCAACCTGTCTCCTACTACCAGACAGTTCTTAATACAGTGGACTGTTTGCAGACAGTTATCCAAAATCTGTATTAGAGCATAAATGATAACAGCAAAGTTTCAGGAAAAAGCTAAGTGTTATCTACTATTCACTAACATCAGAGAGACAAGTCCCAGAATGATTCTACATGATGAGAACAACCCAAATGTAAGGCACAAAAATATCTTCTGCAAACAAGAAGATGAGCAAGTTATGCAGGAGATGATATGCCCCCACAGAGATAATCTGGAATTTACATAAACAGGCATACATCCACAGAAGAACCATGGCAAGTTCTCCAAAAAGACAACTTAACTGAAAACTGTGAAAAAGCACAACAGCAAAGGAGTTGTCTCATACATCAGCAATTTAGTTTTTCTATCCTTAATGTAATGACCCTTCTATGAATCTCATACTCTTAAAAGTAAAGAAGACAAAGAGAATTTTGTTAGTGTGGAACTACCAGCAAAGCCAGCGTTCAGGCATCCATAAGTTGAAAATTCCAACAAGTTCAGGCAGGCTACAAAGTCGAGCTCAGCTGCCGGCCTGGCAGATCAGATGATATCAGTGCCAGCACAGATCAGCTATAGTCTCTCAGCAAACTGGCACATCTCATTACGTGTGTGCTATTGAGTCTTCTGTAGCCTGCCAACAGTTTCTGTAACAACTGCAAGCCGCTCAGCAACCCACCTGACTTCATGTCGACTCTGTTGTCACTGATGCCTGCTGTGCTAGATCATTTTGTTGCCATGCCACGAAATACAAATTACTCCAGACGGAAAGAAACATTTTCTCTGGACTTCAGTGGACCACACAAAAATTTTTCCATGTTACACTTGCCTGAGACTTTCAGTTTTTATGGAAAAATATTGCATTGTAAATCAGCGACATTCTCAGCATAACCCATGAGTGGCTGAGCACTACAGCAGGAGAGTTTATCTTTAGCCAGAAAAGCCTTTTTTCTTCTGTTTTTTCCCCCTCAAAAATCCCGCACAGTCGATTGCCTTGATAAGAAAACAACTGGAAATCTGTGTAAAAACTTGTGTTATGACTGCCACAAATTGCCATTCAAGGACATGTCTCAGGCAGATGACTTAAAAAAGAAAACAGCAAAAGCAATTCCTGTGAATCAATTTGCATGCATGTAAGAGATGAATGATAATAGTCACATATTGGCAGAAGGCTTGTACTCTGGGTAAAACCGTATCGTACTACTCTGTCATTTCCTCCATGAAGGGCTTATTTTTAGTTGTGTTTTTCAGGAGGTGTCAGACTCGAACACTATTTTAGTCTCATCAGGCAGTGATGCAGGAGCAGAAGTGACAGCTAGCAGTGACTTGTTAGGTGTCACTAAAATAGGCCATTTGTCATCATAAAACCTGAGCACTTGTTCTAAAAACACCAGCGTCTCATTCATGTGGAATGGAAGTCAAAAACCCTTTTCATCACACCTGAAGTCTGCTTGGATAAAAGGTCAAAAAACACGTTTTTTTGAAAGCCGCACATTCGGCTTTACTTAAAGGTCTAAAAAGAGTAACAGAATGAACTTGAAAAAAGAAGAGGAAAAAAAAAAGCACAACCGTGCAATGTGTCTCATATAATTGCCTGCAATAAATACATATTTGAATGTCCTTGATATCTCGGATAGACACATAGGCTTTGGGGAGGGTATAAAAGGATGACAGCTATCTACTGGCCAAACAAATATGCCAGTCTGTTTGTTGGCAGACAAGCGCGGCCAGGAAAATTGCCAATTAGCGACTTATTTGAGACCACTGTCAGAGAGCAATTACAAGTCTGACACAGTTCAGACTGGACTGAAACAAAACAGCAACAATATCCGTGCTGCCATTCAACATACCAGCGGGGCCACCTACAGTAGATTTCACTTCTATAGTTCCTCCTCATACTGCAACATGCTATACATCTGGAAAATAGAGTGTGAACACATTTAAAATAAGGGAGAGAGTGCACTACATTTGTTCAAATATCTGACCTAGAATCACACCATAGATAGATAGATCTCATGGCTAAAGCACTTCTGGGTGGATGCAAACTGCATTTCGTTGCCTTGTACTTGTGACATGTGCAATGACAATAAAGTCTATTCTATTCTATATAGTCACAGAGCACTTGAGCTAATACAAAAGTTGCCTGAATGACTCAGATTTTGTTCAGATTACTGTTACACTGTCCAAATGCCAGAATACAAAGACCACTTAGTGCTTTACTTGCTTTTAAAATATTACAATCTTTTTGAGGACCTATGAAGTCACAATAAGATTCTTATTAATAATTTAAGTAACTTATATTTGGCAGTATAGCTCTCTTTATGTGCAACAGAAGAAAAGCTAGAGCCAGAGATGCAAAGAACAAAGCTGATACCACAGCTAACAACAGATCTAATATTTATTGAGCTGTACACAGAATGGAAAGAAAAAACTGGGGCAGGGGTGGTTTGCAAAGCAGCTTACAGATGATTATGCTCAATACATTGAATCCATTATACAGCTGTTGTGATGAGCCTGATGATAATTTGTTGTAATGTTAAAATAAAGGGTGCCACGCTGGAGGCGTTACTTCTAAAAAGTGAATTTGTACGCAATATAAAAGTGTCCTATCATGATACTGATGATATACATGTATATAATCTGCATTTATGTTGCTAGTGCACAAATCCAGACTGCTAGAAAGCTATTACAGCTAAAGGTGGGAAAAAACCCCAACTTGAGGCAAAACCACCAGTACAAAGAGGAGACATGGCGGCTGAAGTGAAACCAAAAAGTAATCAACCGAGCATCTCACTAGTTAGACTCTACATGACAGGAGGACCAAGTGGTGGATGGAAATTAGTGATGCAGTTACATGGCTTTAATCAACTGCTTAAAAGGTCTGAGCCAACATATAACATCTCAGGTGGAAGATATTAATCAATTCAAGTTCTATTATTTGATAGTAATGTGCAGGCTCTATAAGAGTTTCAAGGTTACATCACTTTACTTATTAATATTATTGTTATTATTATTTACTTAAATGTTTGACATTTGGAAAACACTGACTAAGCTGCTTTTGGGTTTGCATTTGATGTATTGCACTATAATGCTGCTGCACCTTGTGGTAATGGATTCACACTGTGAATTAGGCAGTCTGTCATCAGTGACACTAGTTCATTGGGAAAGAAGGAAAAGGAAAAAGGTCGCTCATGTTGTTTGCACCAATAAGTAAATGCTCCTGCCTGCAAGCTGCAATGTCTGACTGGATGTTATTTAGTATTTGTTTTTCCTTATATCGACCAAAAAATAATTATTGGAGATTTTCTTGAAATGTTGTGATATCATTTTGCTATACCAACCACCTGTAATTAAAATAATTAAAATCTTTAATTTGTGATTTAATCCCTACATTAGGAATCATTGGAGTGAGTTACCTATTCTAAAGCAAGATGAACCATGCCTTAAATAGCCTTAAAATAGTACGCGTGCTGTGATACGTCACCGTTAACTACCTCTGCTACTTTTATGATTTAAATTTTGTTTAAGCAAAGCTTTTAATATATAACTATATATGAACTATTCCTCTCCCACATGCCTCTTTTCTTACTTGTGTTTTTTGATACCTGTACTCAAAGTGTGAGGCAGTCTACTGATTGTTTAAGGATCACTCTACACTTGGTTAACGCACTGACCGACTCTTTGTGTGACATCTTTAACCAGCTTTCTTCGTTTTCTAATAGGACAAAAGGCAAGTTGCTCTAAAATATGCCACATTAACTAACAAGGCTTACTTATAGATGGATGGACTACAAACGCCGATCAGGTGTAATATTATGAGGCTAATATTCTGTTGGTCTCCTTTTCGGTGCCAAAACGGCCCGGACCCACTGAGGCACGGACTCCACTTGACCACTTGAAGCTGTGCTGTGGAATCTGGTACCAAATTGTCACCAACAGATCCTTTAAGTCTTGTGAGTTCTGAGGTGGGGCCTCCATGGATCAGACTTGTTTGTCCAGCACATCCCACAGATGCTGAGCGTATGAACCACGTGCATCGGTGAGCCTTGGCCACCCGTGACACTATCACTGGTTCGCCACTCTTTCTGACTTCGACCACCTTCGGTAGATTCTAACCACTGCAGACTGGGAACACCCTACAAGAGCTGCAGTGTTGGAGATGCTCTGAAACAGCCATCTAGGCACCACAGTTTAGTCCTTATTAAACTCATTCAAATCCTTACAATTGTCCATTTCTCTTACTTTAAACACATCAATATTGAGGACAAAACGTTCACTTGCTCCCTAATATATCCCACCCATTAACAGGTGCCATGATGAAGAGATAATCAGTGTTGTTCACCTGTCAGCGGTCATTATGTTATGCCTGATCGGTGTATTACTACTTTAAAGAAAAATGTCAAACATGACACAGCTATAGTCCTGCTGTTTGATTCCTGATTAAAGAACAGAGCCCCGTGAAGCCCCATTTAAACCATACAAAGATCATACATGAGCGGGCCATGTTTTAAACAAAGCCGAA